TGGCTATCATGATGATCATTACTAGTCTATTAGTGGTACCTCAATATTATTACCACAGTCGAATGAAAATATATAAATTCATCATTCCAGACTTCAGAAACCCCCCATTTTGAACAGAAATACCCGTATTAGCACTAGTCAGGTTCTTGGCTAAGGGGCAATACCTCCATAATCACCATCTCCTTGGTGGCAACATGATTTCCTCTCAGAGGTATTTACTTGTATAACAAAAAATAAAAATAACAAAAATATATGACATATATAAAATTAGCAAACTTGAAAAAAATATTCTGCTCCTCCTCCGGCGGCCAAGAGTTTTTCCCCCCTACCCACAGCTATCACTGGGGAAGCCACCCTATATTAACATATGACTAAATTAAGCCGGTCCAGGCATTCGGACACCCTCCCCTATTCTAACTAAATGGCTGTGAATGGTGCTCCGCCCAAGTGTTGGTCGTATCAACTCTAGCCACAAGGACTAGAGCCCCACTCGAAGCCAACCTAACTAACCTACCAGGCCGAATAACCCACCCCATCAATTTTGAACCCTGGGAGAGTCAAGGCAAGGCTAATCTTGAGTGTTGGTCGTATCAACTCTGGCCACCCAGACCAGCCCCTACCCGGTGACCTCCCTTTCTAACCCAACCAAACTGTAAGCCTATCTAACCTATCAAGCCGAATAACCCACCCTATGAATTTTGACTATGGGGGAGTCAGGACAAGGTTAATCGAAAGTGTTGGTCGTAACAACTCTGGCCACCCTGACCAACCCTGTCCAAGCGACTTCCCCCTCTATCCCAGCTACCTAACCTACTTGCCCAATTATCTCCCCTTGAACACCTGGCCCGACTTGTACTACCTATAACATGATACCAACCAATAAATTCCTATCACTCTATTTTAACTCGCTGTCTCCTCCCTTCCTGTTCTATTAAGTCACTAATGTCGTAATGTTTAAAGATGTGTCCGACACGCTTCCCTGGGGGAGGGAAATTTGTTGTGGACGTCGACTCTGGTGTCCCACGGGCCCCTGGTTACCTGTCCTCGAGTTGCGCGCATACAGTTATTTACCACCAGAAACGAAAGTTCTCCTGATTGGGTGTGGAGGTCTCTCACCGCCAGGGACGTCTGCCTGTCTCCAGGTCTCCGAGTAGGTATTTGGGGGTCACTGCCACGTCTGGGGTGTGGCCACCACCCCAGGGGTCCATGGTGGCTATCCCAATGTTCAATCACCCGCGCACATAAGAGAAAACTGTATCATTGCAAATACCAAAGGTTCCTGGAGGGCGAGAGTCTCCCAGGACGTATCCAGCCGCAGCACTGCATGAACGTTATACCGATTCACCAATGGACAGGTCGCCGGCAGTTTCAGGGGCCCGGGTCATCCTCTTCTGTCTTGATCCCTCCCCCAGGTCAGGGGGTGTCAAGAGCACCATTTTACATGAAAGATAAAACAAGTATAGTTCAGACAGGATCTACATAATCTAAATTACTATACAGACATCTTCCCTAACCTACACAAATAAATGTACTGAAGGGCCAATCAGGTGAGGTCATAGGCCCCGGACCGCATCCAGTCGGGAGGCCGTCTACGACGCCTCCCCACTCGACGGTCCGGAGTTGCCCACAGGCTCCCCCGACGTCGCCATATTGATGCCGAACTTAGCGCGGACGCCCGATCGACATAGAGCACCTGAAGCACTGAGGCCCCCTCTGAGCCTGGCCATAGTAATTTCCCTGACGGGGGGGTGGCTGATCTCCCCTACGATACTCCCTATCCCTATTAAATCGGGCCTGTAACGCCTCTATCTTCTTAACAAGAGTGGCTATTTGTTCTTGCTCGGAGGTCCGAGCCTCCTCCCTCTCTACAACGGGGGATTCTGTTAAGCTATCGACACCCCCCCCCCCCCCCCCGCTTGGGGTATCCTAGCAGACCCGCCTATCCGATCATAGCTCTCCTCATCAAGGGCCATACGAACGGCCTCTGCTAAACTGGAAGGCTTATTCCTTCTTAGCTGTTTCTGGACCTCCCGATTGTCCAGTGCATCAATAAAATGTTGGATCTCAATAATACTCCGCGTCTCCTGATCAGAGTCTGGATAGGCCCGAGCTGCTATCCTTTGGATATACCCAGCCAACTCGGATAATGACTCCCCCTTCTTCCTAGTTTTTCCCCGAAGCTGGGCCCAGTACACCCCTACATCCCTCTCGGGGTCAAATCTGGACTTAAGTGCCGACGTCACACTTTTATAGTCCAAGCGCTCTGTGGGGGTTAGATCACTATATACCCTAAGGGCCGTACCCTTGAGTTTCACCGCCAGGAATTGGCAAGCTTGAGCCTCTGTCCAAGCGTTAATGGTCTTGCAAGCCTCAAAGTGTGTAAACCAATCTTTATAACTACCCTGGCCATTATAAGCTTCCGGGACAACTATGGGTTTGGGCAGGGGAACTAACTGGGGCGACTGGGGCTGAGTCGCCTGCGAAGGGGCTGCCCCGGGTCTCGATCTAGGGGTCGAGCCAGCAAGGGGTGCACTAAACCTAATCCTTGAAGGACTCCAGCTAGAGGGCTCCCTATTCGTACCTTGGCCTAGGCCGCGAGGGGACCCCGTATCTTGGGCGGCCTCCCCAATTTTGCCATCGCCCACCTCTTCCCTATCACGAGCCGGCCGCCTTCCACGCGTTTCGCTCCTACACAACAGCTCATCTAATCTTTGTCGCATTGAATCTATCTGTAGTCCGTAGTCCGGAATATCAAAATTAAACTCACCGCCCTCCGCCATCGTTGCCAGTACTTAATGACTAAGTTTTTAATAGAAGTAGTTATCAAACAGTCGAACCAATTTCAGATAGAATTATTTATAACTTATCTTGACCTTTAAACCTTAATTTTCCCTATACTCCTAATGGTATCTTTTTAGCATCGAGTCCCGCCGGAGGTTCCAATTGTAACGAACGACGTCTCGCGACCCGCTAGTGGCCGCACCGCGGACGTCACCTCTGTAGTTACAATAATAAAAGTGCCCAATGGGTTCGACTGCCGCTTTCGCTTGCAGATTTCACAAACAAATTTCGACCAAGTACTGGCAATAATGACGAGAAGAATTAAACAGATTCAACAATTTATTATATATTTTACAAGAGTAAAGTTTAGCATGAAAGACATTTAACCGGCTCAGTGAGTGTTTTAAATTAACCATAACAATGTACAGAAGCCACCTGAAATAAACAAACTTTTACCTAAACTAACTACCAGGCAGGAACCAATGTCGTGGTTGTCGAAATTCTCTAGCTAAATTAACTCTCGGCCCACGGAATCTGACACCGTTCCTCGGAGCGAGTCTCAAACCTCGCCGAACGGACAAATCTCCGCCACGTGACCGACTCCAAATTTACAAAGTCCAACTCAACACTACCGCCTTCTCCTACGTTCGTCTTGGCGAGGGGGGCACACAAAATTAGCCTCACCGAACGAGAGAAAACTACTCCCCGAGAATACCAATTCTCGAATTATCCACTATTTAACAAAATTTCAACAGCTAGCGAACGTTCCCCTCAATCACGACACGAGGTTCCAGCCAAAACTTAAGTCTGCATAAATCGAAAAATATACCAAATTACACGGTCGGAAATCAAACCTATCGGGTTGTAGGTGGCAACTGATGTTTAGTAAACCATTTTATAACATTTTAGGGAAGAGATGGGCGCTGACAACACAAAAATCTAACAGATTACCCTGCCTGAATTTCAATACCGACCTATCGTATCTTGGCCTCCAAAGGAAGAGGCTGTGACGTCACTTTTTCTCCCAGAGTTCCTCGCTTCCTCGGACAGGGTTGTACTAAATTCCGAAAAACGACACGAAGTGACCCACGCGTCGCTACACATGCAAGATCTGAGCGACAAAGGGTCTGAACTGAGGCAGAAAACGGAATTTTCTAGGGTACTGTGTACTGATGCCTCCGAGAGAGGATACGGAGGTTTTGTTATCCCGTGTGGGGATCCTCTTATGGAGGGAGATGAAGTGCCTAGTGTCGAGGACACTAATTATGTGCATAAGGCATTTGCCTTGACTGAAGGCCAATTCAACCTTCCAACGGTGAAGAGTTTGTACGCTCATAGTAGTCATGTCGTTATGGAAACGTGGGACGATGCAGAGCGCATGCGCAGCTCCACGTGGAGAGAAATGGAAGCGGTCAAACGAGTTCTGTATAGTACTGTGAGTCAGGTCAAAGGTCACAATGTCAAATTGATAATGGACAACAAGAGCGCGTGTGCTATTGTGAAGGTCGGTAGCGGTAAAACTCACCTACAAAATGTCGCTACGGATATGCACGCGCTCACTTTCTCTAGTAGCGTCAATCTTGAAACCCTATGGCTTCCTAGAAACGAAAATACAACAGCAGATTTTCTCGGTAGATGTTACGATTCAGACGACTGGTCCGTTCAGGCATGGGTGTTTGATATTTGCGAGACCAAGTGGGGGCCACACGGGGTCGATCGGTTCAGATTACAACACTAAGTGTAAGCGTTTCAATTCACGGTGGTGGTGTTCGGGTACAGAGGCTATTGACGCCTTTACCGTATCCTGGAGTAAGGATAACAACTGGTTTGTGCCCCCTCCCCGGCTCGTTTGGAAAACTTTAAACAAAATGAGATCGAACGGGGCATTTGGTACTTTGATTGTTCCAGTCTTGAGATCGGCTGCGTATTGGTCATTTTTATGTCCTGACGACATTTTTGCCGATTTTGTGACGGAGTACATTTCTTTATCCAGAAACGGAGTCACAAAGCGGGGTAGAGGAAAGAACGGGGTTTTGAGAAAACTATTTTGTCGTTCAATATGCTTGCAATCCGGTTGGATTTCAGACATATTAGCATGATGTCATATTGATGTGTTGATTATTGTTTTCAACAGGCATAGGCCTCCAGGGATCAATTGACAAGGCCGTCAGGGATGCCGGGTACAAGATGGGTCATCGCTCTATTATTTGGCGAGTAACATGGCAATCCGACTCATGGACAGTAAAAGTGAAAACACCAATAAAAAGTACTTTGATATTTTTCGTATATGGAAGCAGTTTTGTTCGTCACACGACTGCTGTGCATTGCCTGCTAATTCCGTACACGTGGCACTGTACCTCAACTACTTGTTGGACAGACATTTATCTTTTTCCGCCATTTCCTCTGTAGTGTACGCCATCAAGTGGGTGCATGAAGTCAACGGACTCTCTGATCCTACAACCAGCAGTTTCGTTCAGAATATGCTGGAGAGCTCCAAACGGACAGCCCGCAAACCGGTATGCAAGAAGGATCCAGTTAGCACGGACACTTTAATTGAACTGTGTAATATCTTCTCTAGTGATAGGGACTTGCTTGTAGTTCGGGATCTGTCTATGATTTTGTTAAGTTTTTCAGGTTTTCTACGCTTTAACGAGCTTAGTAACCTGTTGTGTTCAGACCTGGAAATTTTTTATAGTTATCTTTTATTGAAGATCCGGAAAAGTAAAACCGAAACGTGGTGGTGATAAGCAAAGGCGAGACGGCCGCCTGTCCTTTCGCGATGGTTCTCAAATACATCGAGATAGCAGATATAGACGTTCATTCAAACATGTTTTTGTTCAGGCCAATTTTTCGCTTGGGAACTACAAGTAAACTAGTTTATAAGAACAAGAGTTTGAGTTACACAGGGGCTAGACAGGCCATTATGGAACGTTTAGCTTTGGTTTGTGACGTTGGCAACTTGGGGTTGCATAGTTTGCGCGCAGGCGGCGCTACCGTCGCTGCGAGCAACGGCGTCAATGATCGGTGCTTCAAGAGGCACGGCCGATGGAAAAGCGAGACAAGCAAGGACGGTTATGTTGCCGACTCGTTTCACGCTAGGTTACAAGTCACCAAAAAGCTAGGATTGTAGTTTTACAGTGCACATTTCATCTTGTATAGCGAGTATAGTAGTTTTTGTTTTTTAATCAGAAAATTTATTTGCTCGTCGTGTTGTTTTTTTCGGAAGTAGTGCTGCCATCTTAACAGGGCGAACACAGTAAAAAAATTTTTACAAATTTATTATCGTTAGTTCAAGTCAGTTGAAAAAAAATAGTCTGTTCCCTGACAGATTTTTTCTTTTGTAGACATAGCTGTCTGTATATGTTAGTGGTAATAAATAAAGTAATTTCGTGGTATCACCGAAATAACGCAGGTCCTGCGTTACCCTGAGGCCCACCTGTCTGGATGTAATTTTTTCCTGCCTTTGGATACAGATTTCCGGGGGCTATCTCCGGTTTTTTCTTAGCGCCAGGTGCGAGCTGATAACGGGGATTAGCGTTTAAGTTTTACAAACTACATGTACATTTACAGATACCTATATATCATGGAGCGAGAGGTAACAGATTGTTATCTCATTATCTGATTTCGTTGGCGGTACATATCCCACACAGTGGCGTTTTGAACTGGATCGTGTGTGCTGGGGCGTGACGAGAGAACACGTACAGGTGATTTGTGGGGTATGGTCTCTCTCCAGCTGTGACCAGAGACCTAGACGGACGTGTACGTGCACAAGTACTCCAGCATATGTTGTTATCGTAATAAGTGATAATGTAAGGAGTTGTGTGCGGTCGGAGGCCTATATTTTAAATTGTTCATAATTAGTATTACATGCATTGAATATCTCAATTGACGATACCACGTCTTCCGTTACTTTTTAACCCTACACTCGGCGTTACAGTATGCATATTCAAATGTATAGTTATGTCCGGCGAAAGGCTACTTTACATCCCGTAGTTACTCATTCAGGTGTGTAATTATTTCAACACGTTAGCTTTTTATAGCTCATTAATATTCTGTAGTTATATCACATCAGTTAAGATATTAGCTACTGTTCAAGTCGTATAGTTTAGATACTTTGTCACTCCGTCTGAAAAGTGAGTTTTACTGTTTATATGTATACAGTTGTAGCATTGTAGTACAGGTAGATATGTAGTGTATTTCTACGGTCCGCCGTGAAATAGCATTAATGTAATTAATGTAAATTTTGTGCAGGTTTTTGTCAGACTATGTAGTAATTGTTTGTTTTTGTTTGTAATTGCAGATTATTACTCCCTCCGGGGGTCTGTATACTAAAGCCGAATAAAAAGTACAGTACACCAATAAGAGCGCATGTCTCTATATCTATCGTAATTTTAAACCTTAAACAATTTGTATTATACAAGAAGCATGGAACCGTTGAACCATGCTGGCGATCTACCTGTAGAAAAATCAATTAAAGGTAATGTACAGTATAAAATAAACTGGTAATCGCCGCGTGTCTCAAAGTTGGCTATACACCTTATCACAAAGGGATTTCTGGTTGGTTCTGAGGACTTAAAAATCACCTATTATTCGGAAGGGATAAAGCTATGTCACAGGAAGTATATACAGTTCTTTTAAGACAATGAGGTCTATCGTTTTAAATGCCACCCTAATGGGCTCGCGTGTATGCTACGTGTCTTTTAATTGCTTTGGAAAATCGAGAATAGCTAATTCGGCTGTCTATGATAGTTTGTTGTTTTCAGGTGCTTACGAATCATGTTTTTCCAGTATCTAAATCGTGAATTTATTGTATAGTTTGGGGTCGACAGTTCATCATAAGAAGTCTTTGCATAATCCGTGTCAAATTATCGTTTTTGGGATTTGTACTTTATTCAGTTAGACTGTTAGATTGACCTCTGTGAAGGCGAACATTATAGCAGAACAATGTTTAAAGATTCCTGGGGAAAAGAACGGTACATATCCATGAAATCGCGCAGGACAGGATTGACAATATCAAACGGGCATCGAAAAAAAACAACTCATTAGGGCCGACCGTTCGGTAGTTTAGGTTACGGACTGTGAGCACTGATGAATGGTACGGAAAATTCTACAGGAAGACACTGATCGTTTTCTGTGAGAGAAAAAATACCTTGAACTAATGGCAGATTTTCTTGCTCCAAAAGGATCTGTTCAGACACAATAACACAAAATCAAAAACGTGTCGTTTCTTCCTTATCCGGGTGCTCAAGCAGTAGATGCTCTTCACTGAGGTGGGGAATGTAGAGCAAACTTCGTAAAGAAAAATCAATGGCAAGCATGATAGTGCCTCTGTGGACATCGCAGTCATGGTTTCCAGAAATTATCAGATTCGTATTAGGAACATTTTACATTCTACAACCAGCGAACAACGCATTTATTTACAGCAACAACATCCCGCACCGAATACATCCATTATAAAAATGCGTCTAGGGGTATTTCGTCTGTTGGGGGAAACCTCCATTGCACTACCTTTCAAAACAGGTTACATAACCCATACTGTCATTATGAAGATACTTCAGAAAGTGCCAATATGGCACATATATCTTGACATAGTCATGTTTTTGTGATTTAAGGAAAATTGAACCTCGAAGATAGGAGTTATATGATTATGTTGTGTCGTTTATGTAGTCTGTTGATTTATTGAAGGAGCGTTTACCAATGGCCCAGCTTTCAAACATGGGATGGTACAATAGTGTTCGATTATTTAAAAACTACTTCACCTGCAAACACGTTGTCCCTTCTTGAATGTTCATGCAAGCCGGCAAAGTGGTCAGTCTCTCCATTCACTATCATTGATTAACCTTGACTTCAAAGCTGATAAATTGATCATTAGGTTGTCCATTATGCTGCAAACATCTACATCTAGCTACCACATGAGGAAATTTTTTCTATCAAGAAATATGAGACGTCAATCCGTTTTTGATGAAGACAGAACTAACCTGTTAAGAAAGGAGGGGGGGGTGAGCTCTTTTGTCGGTACCCTTAAAGGCAGTTTCGGGTATCTGTTGCTACTTAGATACTCGATATGAATTAAACTTTGACACTGCTAACGAGCCAGATCTGTTAAACTGTATAACGTATTATTATCAATATAAACAAATTAACGACTAGTCAATACATAACAGCATCCCTCACCTGTTTATATGATTCACACGCAAATCGTAAAAGTAATCCGTTATAAACATCACAATCAAATTTATTGTTAACATTAAACACATTTTTTAGATAACCGTTTATTAATCAAATTGTGTAAAACACCCATGCAGATAAAAGGTGAACTGATGATTGTTATTGTCTTTCTCTACATATACTAAACAAAAAAAGAAAGGTAACACTACTTTATTCTGTGATTAATTAATTAACCCCTTCATAAATCCTTACCAATCATATACGAATAGAGTAATTGATCAATTCTGATAAAACTGCAGTCATGGTTCATTATAAAACTTTGCGTTCAATTGATTTTATTCGACTGTAAAGGACGTTGGGGTCAATTTCAAAGGTAACACCATTAGTAACGGGTATGGCCACCATTTGCGAATTAAACAGCATTGCAGCGTCGTCGCATGGAACTCGTAAACCGGCGGATAATTCGAGGAGAGATGTTGTTCCATTCAGCGATCAAGGCTTGGGCCAGCTCCTGCAAGTTTGACGGCTGATTTTGACGTTATCTCACGCGTCGCGCAAGAACGTCCCGGACATGCTCAATCGGTGACAAATCAGGTGATTTAGATGGCCAATCTAACACCTATACGTTATTCTGCTGCAAGAAAGTTCTACTGACGCGACTGGTGTGCGCTGGTGCGTTATCCTGTTGAAAAATTAAGAATTGCAGAACCACTGGTCTTAAAATTTCGTCCCGATATCGAATGCCGGTTAAATTGCCATTTAACACAACAAGCCTGGTACGAGTCCTCCCACAAGTACCACCCCAAACCATTACACTTCCGCCGCCAAAGCCGTCCCGTTCTGCGACGCAGCAGTTCGCAAAACGATCCCCTCGTCGCCTCCACACTCTGCGCCTGCCGTCACCGTGTTGCAGACAAAACCTGGACTCATCTGAAAATAGAACATTGTTCCATTGTCGTAAGGCCCAACGACGGTGAACACGGGTCCAGTAACGCCGATTATTACGGTGACGTCGCAACAAATTGGGTCCAGTGTAGGGACGCAGCGCTTTCAATTGGTAGGCCCTCAACCTGTTGTGGACTGTTTGGGGAGACACACGACGCCCAAACAGTGTCCTTGTAGTCTCTACTGCGGTTACGAATCGATTGCGCAAGTGTATCAATCGTATACGACGGTCATCCCTGGCGGTCGTTTCACGGGGTCGGCCGCTTCGGGGACGATCGGATGTTGACCCAGTTTGGTTTAAACGATTTACCAACTGGCAAATTGTCTTAACACTGCAACCAAAATGCCGCGCAACTCGACGGCGAGACTCCCCAGCCTGGATCTTGCCTACAGCCCTTTCTCTCTCTACTTGTGAACGGGGCATAATGATAAAGTTGATAGATAGCAAGATTCGGTGATTTCTAAGTCCTAAGGATCTAAGGAACAGTTCTCAGTTTGAAGATACATGTTAGTCGCAGAAAACCTCGTGCAGCTCTTTCGCTAATACAGACTTTCACGCTTGAATGCTTTTGGTAACCCCCTTGGATTTTGTAATGTAAAACATTACCATTTTCTAATATTGCACAAACGTCATTTTGTTTTCATTCATTTACAGGTATTCGCCAAGGAAACATGTTAACCTTTCTTTTTTTGTTGAGTATATATTACGGTCATGAGGCATTAAGGAACGTTCCTACGAGGAATATCCCGTGTGGGAGGTTATATTTTATATATAGGTTTGAAGCCCCTTTTGCGCCCTGACTTTTGACGTTCAAGTTCAGTTGAGATTCCCAATAGAGTTGATCAACCATCTTTATCAGTCATTATCTGTTCGAAGGCCTTTAACTGATAAAATCTACCGGACCGAGTCATGCTGCCCAATTTGACAAAGGGAGTAGAATGATAATGATCAGGGTATTCAAAATATTAACCATAGTATGGTATAACAATAACCGAATTCCTGTGTTGATTTGGGTAATTATACCAGAAGTATTTTTCTAACCGTATACTGCAGACTGGTGCATGTAAGTAAACGTTCCTTTTCCCATATTTTTTCTTTAAATAGAAAGCGAGGTCAATAACTTAACATTTGTATACATTTTGTCAGAACTTAAATCAATGTAACCTGGAACCCATGCATGTGTGTATCAGTTAAAACACACCGTGTTTGAGTGTTGACAGCTTGGTCAGTAAATACCAGTGTTGTTTGCGATATTTCTTGCACATGGAGTGTCTTCAGACTTGAAGTTACTGAGGTAAGTTTACATTTTTGCTAACCGTGTTCTTTTTATTTTCTTTCTTTTTGGCGAAATTGTGGAAATTTTTAAAATAAAATAAAAAAAGTCACCATTTGAAGTTAAGTCTATAACTCTTTTAGAAAATAGCGAAATTATACGTTTATTTTGGTAAGTAACGCGTTTTCTACTCAAATGGATAGAAACATTGAGCTCAAGTCTATTTATGGAGGTCGGGTAAAACAACAGTACGGGTTTGATTGCAGCGACATTTTGTGGCACGAATCTTCTACTAAGATATGTGTGACATTACATCTCAGTGTTACTGTTTTAGTGCAGTATGGTACTGTAGTATTTAATTATAAAAAAAATATCTATAGAATTTATATAAGCGGAAATCTCCCGTTCTCATTTTCAGAAACATATCATTCATATGTAACTGTTCCATTTGTATCCCGAAGCTAACTCTCTTTAAGGCTTAAGTATATTCACGTTCGCATAACGACCTGACGTAATCTCGCTACAGTGTACCTTAGAGTTGGCTAAAAGTACAATCCTGTCAGGGTCTCTTTTTCTACTTATCCAGTCACCAGGTCTCCTTTGACTTTGATTGTTTGTAGAACATCATAACAAAAGGATATATTGAAGTCATGAAAAGGGGACTTATAATATTACCTTTATTTTTCAGAGTGCTAACAAATGAGGGTTTCCTATCGAATACGAATTTGCATACTTGTGCTATCTACAACGGCCCTTGTGCCAATTGTGATATTTACGTCGTCGTCCATACAAAAGAAACTTTCAGGTGTAAAGACTTTAAAGGTTTGTGTGGGTATGGAATGTGTGTTGAATGTCCTTTGAATGTGATTATATCCTTGTCTCAAATCGTTTTTTTTTTGCATCAAATATAAAGACATCGCAGACATAGATTTGCACGAGGAATATGACTAAATTTTTAAGACTGAAGGAAAATTCAAACAAACAATGTTACTTGTATCGAAAATGTGACTTTTGCGTTTGATTGCTATAGAAAACATTAGGAAAATACCAACTGTTTCAGTAATTAATCTCCAATGTGTTTTCCATTTGTTCTTTTCAACTTTATTGCTACAACTAATGGGTCAGACAATGTTAAATCTTATGTTTCAATATTTTCAATTAGCCCAATCAACATGCGTATAGCAGTCGAGACATGCAAAACTAAAATAAGGCTAAAATACTCCACTCTTTCATTTTTACTCTGAATAGGTACAAGACCCGCCTACCACAAGACATGAAGAATTTCCATCAGTGAAGGTTGTATCTTACAAATATACATAATGATACACATTCATCTCTATAGTTTCTTTTTTAAATATACATCGTTTTTGCATTACATAAATTAATTGGTCCTTTCGCAACCTTTCTGAAAGGGGTGTAGATAAAATCAGTTCGTCGATTAGATCGTTATTGAAGTATTCTCTATAATTTCTAGCAATATTTGCGTTAGGCTGTGCGTATGGAACGATTTATTTATAACAATGGCGTAAGAGAGATACAAGTTAATGCAATATATAAGGTAGCCTCACTGTCTCATGTAGAAATGTCCATTGTGCAAATTGAGGTTAGATATGTTCGATGCTCGTTGTGACGGTTGGTTTTGTTGTCAATAACCTGCACACGTATATCATCTTTGAAATGAACATTTTAGTGTTCCAGGAGTGTAAATCACCTCTATTTTTCTTCTATTGACGTTTGATCGGTGCTCTTGGAGAACATGACATTACTTACTTGTTAGATTTGTGTTATAGGTGTCGACGATATCGTACTTGTCCGTTAATTTTGTTCTCCCTTTGAATATGCCTTTTGTTCAAATTTTGCCTCAACTTCATCGAATTTGAATTTTCGTGCTTTGACTTTAAGCCTTCAATAGTTGTACTTTTCCTCCAGACGTATCTCGTCCATTAATTTACCACGAAGTTCACACTATGGTATTGTGATGAGATGAAGTACACCACTGTCATATCATTTGAACCTCAAATCATCTTGCAAGAATGCTACAAAGCATTTCCGCTTCATACATAATTTTGCGAGATTTGTATACAAGTAATTTCCAGAGAATGTAATTACTCAAAAATTCAAACGGTACTCCTTTGAACTCTCTTGTGGCGGATAGGGTGCGTAGGGAAGATAAAGTCGCATGTCTCCTTTTAACAAATGAACGAAATACAAAACTTATATGGAATAGGTATACACTAAATAGAGCGCTTCTTTAGTGCAACATTACGTCAATGTATGGTATAAATGGGGAGAAAAGAAGTGGTCGACGACTTACGCTTCCTTACAAAAACGAATTCTTCTGTGCTTTCATCTGTGTCCCGATGAGCGATTAAGATATGTTTGATAGCATGTTCTACGTTAATTATATAGATAAATATATGCGATTTTTACATATGTTTAAAGTGTAAAGATAAAACTGATTTTAAGTGATTCACTATACAGTCACGCATATAATTCAATGATTTATGCCTAGTGGTTTTGAAAACAATTTTCAAACACTAGAATATTTTTTTTTTAAATTACTAACCTATAATTATCTTTATTATTTCTTTCTCCATGAAGAAATTGTCTGAAGGGCACACTGCAATGATGGAAGTGGTAAGCATACGTTGTATAAATATATATACGCATATGTTTCTAAACATCAAAAATAAGAAAAACTATAACTTGATATTATAACCCCAGTGTACCTATACAATGTTTAAAGAAGTGGCAGATACAGTATACCATTGCATTGGATATGTACTGCATATTAATTGTTCTGAAGGTCGTATGTTTCGTTTTGCTCATGTTGGCCTATAAAAACTGTTTCAATATTAAGTCGTCAGCGTGGTATTGTGTCTGAGGTATTGACATACTGAAGGCGAGTGTGGGTTTTTATTTATAATCATCACGTCTCAAACACACCGGAAAGGTCATTAAGGGCAGTACAGGGTGATTTAAAGGCTGCAAACAAGTGGGGAGGTAACAGATTAGGTATCAATGGCGCATAGACGGAACTTTACAACTATGTAATTATAATTTCACTATCTGATTGTGTTATTATTTTATGCACTGCTATGGAAACGTCCGATTAGATGATATGATGTAAATGTCCTTATATTATTGCCTATCCACCATTAATGGACTGACATTGAATCAATTTCTTCATAAGATTTAACTACGTGATATCTCGGTCCATGTTAGATAATGGTATTGTTGTAAGATACAATTTCAATATTGCTCATACTTATATATTTACGTCTGATAGACTTTTGCCATCAAATATGACTCGTTTGACATACGGTTTACTCCCTGTAAGGTGGTTAGAATTTTAAAGTTTTAGCTTCAGTATGAGGTGTCTTTTGTGCGCACCTTTTCCGGGTCTTGACTTTAAGTCGATGAGACCCCGATAATCATAACAAATTACTTAAGCGTGATTGGTAACAACAACGATTATAGGAGGCGCTACTGTTTTACATTTTTGTACATTCCCACTTCCGTATCTTTTGGTTTGTGTGTTTTGTTTGGAAGTGTTCAGTAAGGCCGTACTCGGATGGCTACAGCTGTTAATACAAGGTTTAACAATATATATATTAGACCAAAATATTTCAAGGTTCAATGCAGGTTAAAGACGATTACGTGGTAATATTGTCTTCATGATGTTGAGAAATATTATCTTTGTGTGATATCAAGTCGGGGGTGTTTGGGGCTCTTTAGCATGCCTGGTGATTCTGTTGTTGCTTACTTTGTTCTAGTTTTGGGAACGTTACATTGTCTCTTGGATTCACAAAGATTTACATGGGGCTGTCTTTGATAAAACCGAAAACGCTTACCTGTTCAGAAGATCTGTAAGAAGTCTCCTTGTAGTTATTCCGGAATCACCATGCAACTTTTTTGTCGTAGTTTCATTTAATTTATATTTGAAATAACATTTTGTTAACATGTCTGTATTTTCTTTGCGGTTCTATTTGTCTTTTAACATTACACATTATTCTCTTTACTTATGTTTTATTTCAGGACATGCGTATTTCTGATGAAATAATGAAATGTGTCCTCAAAAATATATCGAACCCTTATATTTACGATTATACTACTGATTTTTACCTGCTACCACCTGTGTCGGATCTCTGTAGGATGACTGTACCGGACCTAGAATTATTGTATCAACGGTAAGTTCTCTTTAAATCGTTATCAAACATATAGGTTGGCATGATTGAGCTGTTAATAATATGAATATTGAACTAATTCCTACAAGTCAGAAATAGCAGGTCTCTATTTGGAAATTCTTAACATGAGATTTGGTAACATATCTCTCTCGATTTTTGCAAACAGTACGACCGCCGGAATAGATAGTGTTAAAAATAATAGGTTATGTAGAAACTGATAAAGTTCTACTAAGACAAAACAACGTTCCCCATACCAGACTTTTTTCTCGTGCATAATCCCTATGCACAACTTATGCATTTCACATTTCCGTTTTGAAGAAAACTTTGCTTCGGTTTTTAAGAGGGGAGAGAGGCTAGGGAAATCCCAAATAAAGTCTTATTTCATTGACTTCGGCTCGGATAGATCGCCTATTTTAAAATGTCTTATTTCATTATCTCAAGTAACAGAAATCGAAAACAGCTAATAGTACAAAGCCGATTCATTTAATTGGTCTTACTCACCCACTATACAAGATACTATACGACACTGAATTAACGAAATCAACAGATATTTTAACTGCTGTTCTGTCTTATGAGTTGTCTGATCTTGGTATCGACATGACCAGATTGCGCTTGTTGTCGTAATTTCAGTTTTAAGAACAAGGAGTTATATTATCAAATCAGTTTAGCAAACTGATATATTGTGAAATCCGAACGAAATGAAAGCTACGAATTATGTACTAATTAGTCATCCAGTCTAACAGCATCTAGGAATTATTGCCGGTTTCGTCAGATCAAAGGAACGTTGTCATTGGTGAATTCGTCAGCGTTCGAGTAATTACCATAACAATGTGGTAACCAGAGTTAGTCCTTTTGTTTTACTCTATCAGATAGTTCTTGTATGAATGGAGAAGAAACAGAAATATCGACTGAGGCCGGATTAGTGCAACAATTCTAAGGTATATGACGTTGTCTGATTATATTATTACTGTACGTATCAACTACTTATTTTATAGATACCTAAGTACCGTACAAACGGTATGTAAAACCCAACGGAGGTTCGGAAAGATCACGGATGGTGAATGGGATGTATGTGTTGAACCAAAGTATCTTCCAAAATATAAATGTCTGGTGTACTCTTTTGGGTAAGTATATCATTTCTTAGAATTGACACTTTATATAATCTTCTTACTGAGTGAAAAGACAGCAATTGTAATTTGATAGTTTAACCTATGCTGTTATCGCGTGCTGATATGGATATGGATTTGTTTTACCAGTGAAACAAAAAAATACCAAATTGAATTATTCATGATTATGAAGTTATGAAGTATTCCATTCCATTCGTATGTGGAAATTGATCGAGATAAATTGAGATTGCTCACTGAGTGTTTAGACCATACATTCTGACGATGTTAGTGTGCTCTAACGGCCTTCGCCGTTACACAATTTTGCTAAATGTGTTGGCTTACTGGGACTGTTGATATAAATATCTCTATTTTTTCTTGACTCGCAGTATTGCTAATGATTTTCCTTTCGCTGATGACATTGCTCGTTTTTACAACTGTGAGGTTCATTCCTTTGATCCCAGGTAAGGTATTAATGCATCAAGTATTGCTTAACTCATGTTTGCTTTTGATGAGTGGGTTGTCTTTTGCTTGTTGAGACACACATTTGAGGGTGTGCGTGTATGCTGTTTTTCTGCTTCAGATGTATAACTCCATTCTAGTAAGCCATGTCTGATATTCTCGCAGTAAAAATTAAAAAAAATAGAAGTCGACATTGAAACAATATACTACGGCTTTAAAAACGTGTTTTGTGATCACGTGTTTTTCATTTTCAAGCAGAGACTACGACCATCTGTAACAATTACAATAATTGATATATATTCAATGAAGTTATGGTTTGATTATAATTCTGTTAAAAAATATTGGTATTTTCTCTTTTTACACTACATCTGACCCCAGTCAGGTAAACTAACCAAAAACTAATGTACTGGATTGAAAACCACTCAAGTCTTAATGATTTCCTCCTCATTACAAACACTCGGACGACTTCCTTTTGCATCTTTTTTGTAAATAGGGGATGTCACTGAATAAGACAAACATATTTCATGCATTATGCTGCTGTTGTAGCTTTTAAAATTGTTCAAAACTTGTTTAACTTTTTTTTCAAATAGCATGGGGAAAAAAGGATATGTTAGAATCAAGGATCAATCATATTTTCACGATACTGGCCTTTCCGACATCACCCGTTTAAACCCAGACGGCAATATGAAGCGCATGCAGACATTTTTGGATATTCGAACAGAACTGAACCACTTAAAGGTAGGCTACTCCAATAAACAATCAAATTGATCAATCAATTGATCGTATTTTCCGAAACCTGCACCCCTGGAACATGGCATGGCAAAATTTAAACTACCATGTGTAACTCATTGTGGACGAAAAAGACTAGTTTGATCCTTTGAACATCAAACGAATAATTAGAACACAAGGTTTCGTTTAAGTTTAAGAAACGAAACCATGTGTAAATATTCTATAATACCTATATATATATATATATATATATATATAGCAAAACAGATAGGGTATAAGAATGGTAACAGCGTCCTCCGTTACACGGAACAAGATGTGAAGAAATCTGTCTTCTTCCTGAAGCAGTAGACTCACGAGAACACACTTTACATACGCAAAAGAACGTCCGTCCTGAAGATTGTATAAAACCCGAGAGTCACATACAAAAGAGTCAAACAATGAATTTAACTGTATCATACAGCTGTTTCATCAATCTTGGACTCATCAGTGATGATAAGGGCCCGAACGTTATAGTCTAGAAGGCGAATGACACGAGTTGTGGTCATTTACAAAATAAAACGCATGATAAACCACTTTATTTGAACAGAGTTTATCTTCCTTCATATGTCTAATAGTATATTTGTATGCATTCTATATTTATGTAGCGGATGCCAAACGTCGTCAAGATGGATATAGAGGCCTGGGAATGGAATGTACTTCCGGAAATGTTTGCTGCTGGACAATTCCCCAAGCAGTTGATTATCGAGTTCCACTTGTGGTCTCAGAAGTACACTACACAGCGAGACATGTGGATACAACGCCTCGCCGTTCTCAGAAATGTTTATGATGCAGGGTATAGAATATTCTGGATGAACAGAAACCATATCTGTAGATACAAGTCGCATTTCACAAAACAACCAACACTGGCATGTCACGAGATTTCTTTAATACGGAATGGGCCCAATATCATGATGAGTTCTAGTGGCTGATTAAAATGGTATTGACAAATGAATTTATCTGCCACCATATGTTCAACTCTTGAATGTGCAAGTATTGATGTTCATGTAGCACCATTGATGTGTTTTATGAAATAGTGATTTTTTACATAATAAATAGGAATACCCTTGTTGCTCGGATACTGATTAATTTCATGTTTTGGTAATATGATAACTGTCTGACTAGCACGAGAGGTGAAATGTTAAACATTGCAATAAGATTAATTTGTTGGTACTATAAATGTGTAAACGTATCTAATAAATGAACCGAATACGTCATCCGACAATAACGTCACGAATGTAACAACCTGACTACAGACATGATAATATTCATTACCTGAGTGAAAGAATATTCGATGAAGCTGTACCTTTTACGTACACGCGGACACATACTCGAAATAAAGTTTCAATAACATGCCACGAACGTCTGACCATTAGGACTGAGTAAAATCGACACGAACTATCGGCAGGAAGTGATCTTGCTCTATTTATCAGTTTCATTTATGTTATTGATATATTTGATGAAATAAAGAAACCATTCAAAATGTTAAAACAATCATTCTCGTTGTGGAATATTTTGCAAACTTATTCTGGGCTAGCAGAATGGCGACTCAGGACGGCCCTATTAGTAGCTAACGGAATTACAGAAAATACTATACATATTTAGTGAATGTTGAGGACAATAAGCTTGTTACAGCTAGATGTCATCAATGTCGTTGAAGTAATCTGTGGTGTCATATCATTGTTTGTCTGTGTGTCGTGAGGTAATGACAGTTTTGAAATGATGTATATGACAATCAGGAGAGATGTGTAACTTGTGTCACTCATTAGATCACGTGTTAAGAGACTGCCCCGAGTTTTCATGTGGTACAATAAGAGTGAATTGTTGGTATGGTGAACTGCTAATGTTACCGTTGTGTGAAAGATGTGGTGAACGAGGTCAAAATTGCTCGTGTTCAGGTGAGGATAGCGAGTGTGCAGTTGACAATTTCACATGTCACATCTCACATAAAGAAAGGTGAGCTACTGAAATCTATGAAACTCAACTCGGGGTCTTAACCCTAGTTTATGAAATAAAGGGGATCGATATAAGCTAACATTTAGAGATGACCCATAAGTCTGCTTAATGTTGAATGACTAGAGTAATGTCTAATAGATTAAAAAATGTTTTCCCAGTATTATCTCCTCATCAAATCTGCGGTGTCATCGAACTATAGCAGATAATATTTCCTATATCAGGGATATTATGGATCTTCTGTATATGATAAGGTAGAAGGTTATTGAAGCATGATTTGGTATTTTATACTTAGATATTTTGGAAAATCCAATAAACTTCTGAAACAGACAGTCCTGGGCTCAGTCATATTTACGACGAAGATCGACACACCAAGAAAGTGAAGTAAAACATTATATTTGGAGCTGTGACAAAACATCGCACTTAACCACTACACGACATGAAGCCAACGGAATTCAGGTATGTGGGTTTTCTATTCTTTCGAACTTTGTGAACATTTGCCACAGTAGACATTATTGCTATTTATTATAGCCACCTTAAAAAATTGTTTTCATTATGACTGAGACAGAACCCCACACTCTTACCACATATGCCATTGAACTATTAACAACAAACGCTACAAGCGTCACAAATCTTCTTCACAATAAGGCTCAACGTTTTCGAGTCCTAGAAAACACAACCAATAGGCTCATTCTTAGTGATAACTCATGGTGTCAGGGAAAACTGCTTGCGGGGGACAGCACAACATTTGAGCAATGGAATCAGGCCCCACTTGTATAAAATATCTCAATTTAAGATTTCCTCAAGCCCAGATTTTCCTCAGCTAATATCTCCTTCAAAATATCTTGTATGAAAATTCCTCAAGGAACTTCAGGACATCCTAGCCGATGCCTTCCTCCAATTCCTTGAGAAAATTTTATACAAGCCGTTTTCAGCTACGGAAAATTCCGACTTGAGGAAATCTCAAATTTGAGATGTTTTATACAAGTGGGCCCAGGACATTATTAACAAGCCCAAATTACAGGAAACTACAAAAAACACCTTATGGCCTTACAATCATCTACCGGTCCCATCAGTGAATTTATCCAAAGATTCATACGGGGCGTTGAAGATCCAGATTGGGACACTCTAAAAAGTCAGCTTTCGCGTTGTTTTGGCATTATCCAGGGCTCTTCTCAAGCAAATTCATCAGCGACCTGATGAACCCGTACAACTTTTTGCACAGCGAATTCTTTCTTTAGCTGAAAAGTTTTACGAGGGTAATGATTTAAACACCCCAATTGTTGCTAAGCAGCTAGTCCGATTTTTTGAAGATGGTTTAGAATTACCGGAAATTAGATTAAATGTCATGAGAGTCGAATTCAGGGAATTTGAACCCGCTGTAAATTGTGCAATGAAAGAGATGAACATTCGACACCAATTCAACATACGCCAACAACATGTTACACACACTTTTCCTTGTACACAAGCAACACCCTACACCGACACACAATTTAGAGCTGAAGAACCCATGGATATTGACGCCGCACGAATCAGGTATGTCAACACGTACACATACCACAATGATACTCAGACAAACAACTGAAGAGATCGACAACACCAATACCACAACCGATACACAAATACACCAAATCAGCATAGCCATAACAGTCACAGTAACTCCAACAGTCACCATAGACATAACAAATCACATGTTTACCAACCATTACTACCTAATCCAGTAAATAATCATAACATCGCAGGCCACAAGTCTTCACACCAACCTACATATTCGCACATGTGCCATTATACCCCGAAGGGTCACCACAGACACTACAGAGATACAAATCAACAACGTCACACCCATACCAGTTCCAGATCACGCACTCACAGACGCACCTCAACAACCAGGGAAACTAAATCCACCCGGTTTCGTGAGGCAGATATCGGGTTTCAATCATATCGACTGTCATACATAATCAATACTGTCAGTGGAACTCCGAATTCATGTCAAATCAAAGTAGGTAAGCAAAAATACAGGAGTCTATAAGACAGTGGAGCTGATTTGAGCCTCGTTCACTACAAAGTCATAGAACAATTACATCTGACACATTCTCCACAAACAAGTTTAGTTTATTTAAAATCTGTGAATGGAAACAAATTAGATGTTTCTGGAAAAATTACCTTAACGTTCTCCATCAGAGGAATGAAATTCACCCATTTTGCGTATCCAAAGACATGTCCACAAATTTTATATAAGGCAGAGATTGGTTTGTTAAAGAAGGAGTCAGTCTCCACTTTGATAGACAAGCTTTAAAAATCCGGAACATTTTAGTGCCCATTATAGATGACTATTTTGTATTTTCTATTGTCCGTCTTACCCAAAACGTTGTTTTACCACCACATTCTAGTACTGCCAAAATTCATATAATATGCATGTAAGATACTTAAAATTTCGAGATACACATTATCATACGTGTATGTGCAAGATCTATAATATATATGTTTTACAAAAACATATACATGTTTATGACTATGTTTGTATAGTGTTCCAGATTGAAAATACACATTTAACTGTACGTGAAATATACCACTACAATGTGCGTTTCTATCAATCTATACATATGCATACCAGGTTAGAAAAGTACTAAATATACTTATTTGTAATGTAACTTATAAGATGTCAAAAGTAAACAAAACAATGCAAAGTATAGAATGCATGTGTATATTTTCATATTTTCATATGTCGTGTGCACTTTGGTATATATATATATACGTATACGTATACCGCATAAAATGCATATATATATATATACATTTTATGCGGTATACGTATGTATATATGTGTACATTAATGCCTGTAAATATGTATGTGTGGTGCAGATATGTAAATATGTGTATGTATGTATGTAAGTGTGTGTGTGTGTAACAGCAACAAGGCAAAACACCATGTTTACATTATTTATAACATTTATTTCTTATGTACATTATGAACAATTTCTACATTTTCACACTTTACACTCGCATCCACACAAATACCTACGAATACAACACAGATGTTATAAGCATCACACTAAGTAATAACAGTTCATTAATGGGCTGCTTTACATTATTACAATGCACTGGTAATATAGGCTGGCAGCATTCCACCTCAGAGCAAGTCACAACACCAAGTCACATCAAAATACCTCATCAGACCCTAATCCTGGTCATTGTCCTGATCCACCAGTTCACCATGGAACTCCTTAACACATCAAAATACCTCATCAGACCCTAATCCTGGTCATTGTCCTGATCCACCAGTTCGTCATGGAACTCCTTAACACATCAAATTACCTTAACAGACCCTTATCCTTGCCATTGTCCTGATCCACCAGTTCATCATGGAACTCCTTAACGCATCAAATTACCTTAACAGACCCTTATCCTTGCCATTGTCCTGATCCACCAGTTCATCATGGAACTCCTTAACACATCAAATTACCTCAACAGACATTCTGGTCATTGTCATGATCCACCAGTTCATCATGGAACTCCTTAACGCATCAAATTACCTCATCAAACCCTAATCCTGGTCATTGTCCTGATCCACCAGTCCACCATGGAACTCCTTAACACATCACAATGCCTCATCAGGCCCTAATCCTGGTCATTGTCCTGATCCACCAGTTCATCATGGAACTCCTTAACGCATCAAATTACCTCATCAAACCCTAATCCTGGTCATTGTCATGATCCACCAGTTCACCATGGAACTCCTTAACACATCACAATGCCTCATCAGGCCCTAATCCTGGTCATTGTCCTGATCCAACAGATCACCATGGAAGTCCTTAACACATCAAATTACATCATCATATCCTTATCCTAGTCATTGTCCTGATCCACTAGTTCATCATGGAACTCCTTAACACATCAAATTACCTCATCAGACCCTAATCCTGGTCATTGTCCTGATCCACCAGTTCACCATGGAACTCCTTAACACATCACAATGCCT